CTGGAGTGTTGTGGGGATCGAACTACAGCAAACTGAGGCTGCCAGCATTGTGGAAGCAGCCACTTAAAGAACTGAGCTAGGGCTGGGCCCCCAGATAATTAATATTTGATGCATGGGGCCCCAGAGATGAGTAGGCGTGTGATTGAGTGAGGGAAGCCAAATATTTTGAGAGAACCTTTATGATTCTATTTATATGTCATAAAAAGCAGGCTAGGGGCCGGGGATATAACTCAGTGGCATAAGCACCTGCCTGGCAAGTGCAAGGTCCTGAGTTTGATCCCTGGTAGTGAAAATAACTAAATAAATAAATAAAAATAAAAAGCAGGCTAAACTGATCTTTCATCATAAATGTCAGAGTAATATTTTTTAGGGGAAAGGATGGTGCTTTCTGGGGTGTTGGAAATATTCTGTATCTTGATTGGGGGTGCAGAATATAAAGGTAAATTAATGGACAAAAAGATATATCACTTGATATGATATAATCTGATAGATATAACTTGAATGTAGTAGACTTTGTATAACTTGATAAAAACAGTAGAGATCCCTTAATGTATTCTGTTTGTGAGCCCAGTTGGTGGCACTGGACTTCCTGTTTTGTTTAAAAATAGGAATTGTCTTTACAGAATACATCTATTATTTTATTTTATTTTTTATTTTAGGGAAGAGTCTACAGGGTGTTCAGGGTCTCACTACTAGATCAGACTCGTAGTGATCTGCCCATTTACAAACTCCCAAGAGCTGGGATTACAGGTGCACACCACCATGCCCAGTCTCAATTGCTGGTCTCAGCATGCCCCAAGGGCAGGGCCGGCAGGGCAAGCCCAGGGATCAAACTACCAGTCCCTATATCTGCCAAAGCGGTGCTTTAATCTGCTGAGCTATTTGGTCAGCCCTATTAGATTAGTTTTCAATTAAGCATTAATGAGTTTTAAAGAGATATTTCCAGTAAAAGGAGGGGACTTTGTTAAATGTATACTAGTTACTGCAAAAATTATTTTTCTATTAATGTACAAGTAAATAGAAAAGTCTGCAGTTGTTAACAAGTACCTGTAATTTCAAAGTGTTAAAAATTTGATTTTGAGGGCGGGGAGATGGCTCAGTGGAATAAGCGCATGCCTGGCAAGCGGAAGGGCCTGAGTTCAATCCCTGGTTCCGCAAAAAAAAAAAAAAAAAAAAAAAAGAAAATTTTGATTTTTGAGTTGGGCATGGTGATGCATGCTTGTATTCATAGTACTTGGGAGGCTGACTCAGGAGGCTTGCTTCAAGGCCAGCCTGGGATAAATGGTGAAACTCTGCCTCAAAATAAATAAATTCCATAGTATAAACTGGGAAATAAAACGTTGAGGTTTTATTTATTTATTTATTTATTTTTTAATTTTTTTTTTTATTTTAACATTTTAGTGTGTGTGTGTGTGTGTGTGTGTGGCCAGCTCAGCCCACCAGGGGGCGCGGCTGGCTGGCATGTGGTACTGGAGGATTGAACCGCGGTCCCTGTGCTTTTGCCAAGCTTGTTCCAAGTAGGTGCTTTAGACCACTGAGCCATCTCTCCAGCCCCAAGGTTTTATTTATTTATTTGCGGTACTGGGGATTGAACTCAGGACCCTGCTCTTGCCAGGCCGGTGCTTATTCTACTGAGCTATCTCCCTGGCCCTTTCATGTTTATTTTAAAAAATATTTAATTCTTCCATGGAAGGCGTGTTTGTTTTGTTTTGAGACAAGGTCTCACTATGTAGTACAGATGGCCTTGAGCTTACCTGTGTTGCCCAGGCTGGCCTCAAACTCATAGGAGTCCTCCTGCCTCAGCCTCCTGAGTATTGAGGTTACGGGTGTGCACCACCACAGCTGGCTCATTGTAAGCACTCTTGTTTCAGAAAAGAATTCTGCTCTGAGTTCCTCTGTAACTTTCTGCTGTTGCTTATTTACTATTGACTCTATTAATTTGTACATTTGAGCTGAGCTAGTAGAAAAGAATTCCGCTCTGAGTTCCTCTATAACTTTCTGCTGCTGCTTATTTACTATCAACGCTATTAATTCATACATTTGAGCTGAGCTAGTGTCCTCTGCACTTGTTCTGGGTGGGCGTTGGGTTTCCTCCATATGTTTCTGCATTTGCTTCTTTACTTCAGATGCTATTAATTCAGGGATTTCTTTTTTCATTTCCAATCTGAGTTCCTCTATACCTTTCTGCAGTTGTTTCTTTATTTCAGAAGCCATTGATTCATTGATTTCAGCTGTGTGATTCCCAGTTTATTCTGGGTTAGTGTTCTCTGGACTTGTTATGGGTGGGCTTGGGGTCTGAGATTGCATTTTGCTTCTTCTTGTTGTGATTTTGTATAGCACTGCCATCTGACCTTTGTTGTAGAGCTTTGGTGCAGTTATAACCTTAGCACCTACTGAAGTTCAGGTGCAGATCTACAAAGTTTGGATTTATCCAGCTGTGCCTGGCTTGGGTCTGGCTGCTGTGCTCAGCTCCTTCCTGCTGCCACCCTTGGGAGTGAACCTATTGTGCCCCTCTGGCAAGATGTTCTGCTCCTGGACTAGCTGGGTGGTTCTGTCCCCTACTCTCTCTGCAGGGATTTCAGTTGCAGGGTTTCACCCCAGACCTTCATGCCAGGCCTGAGCTGAGTCTGGAGGGAACAAGGTGGAGTAGAGGGGCAAGGAAGCTCTCCCACACACTCACCGGGCCTGGGCTAGGACTGGATCTGGGGGTCCCCAGAATGCAGCAGAAATTCTCACTGGGTAGGCAGGGTGGGGTGGGGTGCTGCGGAGTGGTGGGAGGGGTCCCAAGGGGGTGGAAGAGGGTCTCACCCATGCTGTGCCTGGGCTGGGACCGGCAGGTCCCGCTGGTGCAGGGTAGCTGGAAGCTCTCCCACACACTCACCAGGCCTGGGCTAGGACTGGATCTGGGGGGTCCCTAGAACATGGCAGAGATTCTCATGCGGCGGGCGGGGGGGGGGTGGGGTGCTGTGGAATGTTGGGGGGGTCCCAAGGGGATGGAAGAGGGTCTCACCCACACTGCGCCTGGGCTTGGACCAGCAGTTCCCCCTGGTGCAGGATAGCCGGAAGCACTCCTCCATACTCACCGGGCATGGGCTAGGACTGGATCTGGGGGTTCTTCGTCTGTAAGCACTCTTATTGACAGACAAGTTTCTTTGCCTTATTCTTGTTGAGTAACA